CCCTAAACCCTAAGCCCTAAATAAAACGCTAAGGTGCTTAGATCCTGAGGGGAGCCCAAGAGCCTGGAAGTCGATCGAACACCCTTGACTCTTATAAAACCCTCGAAAGAACACCAAACAGGAATTAATTATATATATATATATATATTTATTTATTTATTTATTTGTTTATTTATATATTTATAGTTGTATATTCAATAAATATATGTATATAACATAATATATATATATATATAGAAACCCGAAGCGGAAATCCATAAAGCCCCTAAACCTCCTCCCGCCCCCCGGTGCCTCGGAAGGAGGCGCCAGCGACAGCGCCGCCCGCAGAGGCAGCGCCTGCTGCTCCGGAGGCGGACAAGGCGAGCTTCCGGGAAGTTGCGTAGTATAGGGGCCTTAAGAAGAATAGGGTTCTGGGCTCCTCTATAGTATTACTACAATAAGGAACCCCCAATAGTATAGGTAATCATAGTATAGTAAGCCGTAAATTCTAAATCCTAAGTCCAAAAACTTGTACGGTTTAGGGTTTAGGGTGTGAACCGTATAAGCCCCTATGAACCTGATTTTGGCGGGCTTCCTACGGTTCTTGCGTTTCCGGTATTTTGTAACGGTTCTGGAAGGATTCTTGACGTATCGGGGAGTTTGGCACGTTGTCTTAAATCGGTTTAAACAGGATTCTATGAGTAATTACTGAGTTTCGGGCTTTTGTGCCCTGATAAACCCTAAACCCAAGATAGGATTATAAAACCTGAATGCAAAATCGTATTATGAAACCTGAACCCAAGATCGGATAATAAAACCTAAACCCCAAATCGGATAATATTACCTAAGCCCAAACTCGGACTATAAATCTTAAACCCCAAAACGGACTATAAACCTAAACCCAAGATCGGGTGGAAGGTTAGGGGGTCTGGGTTTCTCAAAGGCTTTGGCTTGCCTTGGGGGGAGTGGTTTTGGATTTATCCAGACTGGCACGGCCTTCACGCATCAATCCGTCCATCCACCCTCGTAACGCTTCTGTAAGCCCCGCAAAGCTCGTACCGAACCCGAACAAAACTCCAGAGCAAACACAAACGAACATCTCTGTAAGCCCCGTGTGAAAGTTTGCAACCGTGACGAACACCTCAACACCACCCTTAGAACCAAGCAGGAAAAGAAACAACCGGCAACTGCTTATGGAAGCCCTCATGGCAATCCTGCCATAACTACGGCAATCTGTGCAGTCACCGTTAAAGTAACCCTTACAGGAACCCTTTAAAGGAACCCTTATTACAGGGACCTTTGTAGGATCCCTTAGAAGAACTCTTGCGGTTTAGGATTTAGGGTTTAGGGTCTAGGGTTTAGGGTTTAGGGTCTAGGCTTTTGGGTTTAGGGCTTCTAGGGTCTAGGCTTTTGGGTTTAGGGTTTAGGGTCTAGGGTTTAGGGTTTCGGGTCTGCATACAAAAGCTGGGGTTGACAATTCGACGCCTCGAGGCCGAAGGGGGTGGCGCCGACACGGCAGATGAACCCCCGGCCGCTCGTCCCCGGTAGAACCTCCGAAGATTTAGGGCTATAAGGTAGGGGCCTCAATAATTACCTAGACTATTTTGGGGGCTCCTTATTGTTAGTATGGTTGTAGTATAATGGGCCTTCTAACGATTAAGGCCCCTTTGTTAGGTTTTCCGGTTCGTAAGGGGTTCGTTGGTGGATTGTTTGGCGGGTTTTGTACTGGAGGATTCTAGAGCTTATGAAACCCTAAACCCTAAACCCCAAACCCTTCACAAGGGTCGTTCAAGGGTCCTGCAAGGGTTCTTTACGAGGCTCTGAGACTCTCAAGGTTCCAGATTATAAGGCTGGCTTTACCCATAGGCTCCATGGTAGTTCCTTTTTGTGGTTTATATTAAGAGCCCTATAAGGTACTCCCAAAAAGGAACTACAATGGAGCCTGTGGGTACATTTCGGTTTAAGCGTTCAGGGTTTACTATCGGCCTTTGCAGTCTTGAGACGCAACCGTTCTCTCTTGTCATTGCTTTACCCTAACTCTCCAGGTACCTACTGTATAGAGCCCTAGGGGCTCTAGTGCCCTATATAGTAGGTACCTGGGGGGTTAGGGCTATATAGGAATCGTGGGCCTCTAGCTGGACTCATACTATATTGCTTGCCGTGGCTTTAATTCCAGGCCTTGGAACGGTCCGTAGGGTTGACCTCAAACTCTGGGCTTTGATTCATAAAGAGGTTTGAAGAAGTACTAGTACTATGTAACAATCCTTTTTCTGGGTCGTATTCATAGTTTTAATAACTATGCCCAAAAATTTTAGTCTAAAATACCCAAAACCCTGAGTCCAATTGTGCTTAGGCTCCCAAGCAGATAGCTGAGCTCAGGCGCCAGAGGGCAAGGAAGATGACGGCGGAGGTGGAGCAGCAGGGCAGCAAAGGCTTGGGGTTCAGACTGGCCCTGGAAGGGTTTAGGGTTTAGGGTTGAACTACAGTACACCATCGGAAGCTACAACAGGGTTTTCGCAAAACGGGGCTTTAGTAAAGTAATTGATTGCGGATTTGAATACCTATTTTGAAGGAAACGCATACAAGACTATCCTGTGGCTTCCAGCCACTGCATACAGAAGCTTCGGGAAGGATCGAAACCCTAACGTCGAAGCCCGTCGTGTTCTTCAGTTGGGGGCTACGCAAAACCAGGTGCCCCCAAGCGTTTCCTCACGAGCCCACCTGGTGCTTCGGTTTTACGGGCTGTTTGTAGGGCCTAGTATTCAAGCTTTCTAGGGTGGGCGGCTTGGGTTTAGGGTTTAGGGTTTAGGGGTTTAGGGGTTTAGGGTTTAGGGTTTAGGGTATAGATGCAACACCCTAGATTTCGGAGCCCTTGAGTCAACGATCCTGTGACCGCCTCGCCTGGGAGATGCCAAGGATATGTTCGATCTCAACCAAGACGCCACTGGTCGCTGCTTCATGCATGTGTGTTGCTTTGTGAGGTTTCTTTTGCTGCTTACCCCTCAAAACTCGAGAACCCAAGCCCCACAAACCTAAGCCCTGAAACCCGATCTTATCCCTAACCCTACTATATAGGGCCCTGAGGGCTCTAGTACACCATATAGTAGGTACCTGGGGGGTTAGGATATAGACCTGCAGTACTGGGATCTTGGGATGTAAGCTTCAGGTCCTCGGTGCACATGGGGCGCGAGGTGACAAACGCCTAAGCCCCCGAACCTGCATCATCCCCAACACCCAGGCTTTAACGTAAAGGCCTGAATAGTTAGTTAGAGTAGGTTATTTTGGGGTTTGGGTAGATCAGGATCAACAGTATGTTCATGAGTTCTTGACTGCTGTTTGTTACCAGTTCCATTGTTATTCGGATTTTTCGAAGCCCAGTATTCACTCCTAGCCCTGCGCCCGAGATCGCACAGTTATGGTGTTACTGAGGGCACTGGGCACTTCTGGCGACTTATGGCTCACCCTAAACCCTTAAAATTAGGACATTTTCAGGTGGGTAGTTACCGTTATAGGAGCCTCATAGAAGGTCTATATACCTTATCGAAGCCTTATAGAAGCCCTATATACCCCCCACCTGTAGTTCCCTTTAACTAAAGATAAAAAACGCTAAAACTGGGCTCTTGCTGACCTTAACATGTTCATGTCGAATCATGGAATCAGGGGCTTAGGGGTTCAGGGCTGTGGGTTTAGGGTTTGGTGGTGCATGGGCTCAGCTCGGGTTTCGTCGGGATGAGTTTTGGGGGCCTACATACTTAGAATAGGGCTCGCGGGTTTCATGCTGGTTTAGGGTTTAGGGTTTAGGGTTTAGGGTTTTGGGTTTTGGGTTTAGGGTTTAGGGTTTAGGGTTTTGGGTTTAGGGTTTAGGGTTTTGGGTTTAGGGGCTTTTGGAGTTTAGGCTTTGGAGCTT